GGATGGCTAGGACCTGACGAGGGGAGCCAACCTTGTTAATGGGGCTGCCCACACCTTTCTGGTCATGTCTGGGATAGTAGCTGTCAAGATGGGGCAGATGAGAAGGGCTGCTCGTCTTTTTTACCACTCCTCGAGGAAATGCATGGGGTTGTGCAGATACGCTGCGTAGCCACATCCATCACTAGGTCTTATTTTCAGGGTAGGGCTTATATTGAGAAAATGTTTAGAAATCCTGCTAGGGCTTATTTTATGGGTAGGTCTTATTTTCAAGGAAACACGGTAAGAGTGTTCTCTTATATAATCACAATATGATGATCAAAATCAAAATGAGGAGACTTCACAATTATACAATGATGTTATATAATCCACATTCCTCCATATTCGTATTTCAATAATTATCCCAATAATGTCATTATAGCTACTTTTCCCTAGTCTAATTTAATCAAGAATTACAATTTAATTATTTTATTCCTAGTCTCTTTTAACATGGAATAGTTTCTTAGCTTATCTTTGTCTTTTCTTGGCTTCGTATTGTTTCAATAAACTTTTTCTTTTAGAATAGTTTCAGATTTATAGATACACTGATTTTCATTAGGGTTAGTTTTCTTCTAGTATATAATTCCATTGTTTTCCTTTGAATTTTCTGAATCCTTACATTTTGATGTCTATTATATTAATAAATAGCTTATGGCTGATTTTTTAATATAGAGTAGCAATCTTTGTATTTAATTTGGAGAATTTAGTTCATTTACATTTACTTGAGTAGCTATTCTTCTGGGCTCATTTCCATCTCACCTATTTAGTTCTTATCTGTCCCATGCTTTCTTCTTTCTTTCATTTCTTTTGAATCGATTGCATTTTAAAAGCATAATTCCAATTTTTTTCTAACTTTAATGTTATAAAGTACTTAAATAATTGTAGTTTCCTAGATATTTTTTAATAATCTAATTTATCAAATTCTATTTATTCAGCATCTTTACTTCCTTCCCAAACAATAAAAGAACATCAGAAAACTTTAATTCTCACCCTGTTGATTAATGCTATCATCATTTATATTTATTATTTTAGTTTTTAACATTAATGTTATTTATTTATAGTCAATATTAAAATTTATTCATATTTACTATCCTTGGCTTCTATTATTTTTTCTTCTTTCATCTCAGATCTTCCATCTATGATCGTTTACTTCAGTTTGAAGTCCATCCTTTGTAAATTTCTCAAGCAAAGATGCTTAGCTATAAATTTACTTTGTTCTTATTTATATGAAAATATGTATAGTTTTTGCTTGTTCTTAAAAGATACATTCATTGTTTACAATCCTAGATTGACAATTATTTTCTTTCAATCCATTGAAGATATTTTTTCAATTGTCTTTCAGTTTCTAATGTTGCTTCTGAGTAGCCAACTCTTAGTTTATTATTCCTATCTTTGTGGTTCATCTATCTTTTTGTTCTGGCTCCTTTGGAGATAGTGCTCTTCCATCTTTGGTGTTTTTCTATGCTCTATCATGTTTCTATGTTTAAATTTATCTTTATTTATACTGCTTGGGATTCATTGGGCTTTCTGTATCAGGAAATTGAGGTGTTTCACCAGTCCTGGAGATTTCCCACTCATTATCTCTTCCAGTATTGCCACTCCTCTATTTATTCCATCTTCTTGAGAAACTCTGATTAAACATGTATTAGACCTTTTATATTTGCACTCTGTGTTTCTAAACCTCTTGATAATAACTCTCCTGTCTGCTTCTCTATGCTACATTATGGATTATTTATTTATATCCATCTTTCAATTAATTAGTTGTCTCTTCTCCTTTGTCTAATCCAAACATATATAGTCAACTAATTTTTGACGGGGGGACCAAGAGGCCACAATGGAGAAAAGGTCGTCTCTTCAATGATTGATGCTGAGAAAACTGGATTTCCACATGCAAAAGAATAAAACTGGACCCTTACCTTATACCATATACAGAAATCAACTTAGAATGGGTAAAAGACCTAAGTATAAGACCAGAGACTATAAAACTCTTGGAAGAAAACATAAGAGAAAAGCACCTGGATATTGGCCTTGACAATGACATTCAATTTATTTCTGAGCTCTGTATGCTGTTCCAAATATTCTTATTTTTATAATCCTTTGCTAGCTACTCCTATTTTCCATCCTCCTCTTTAAATTTTAAATACATTATACATACTTATATTTTGTATGCTATGCATAATATTTCTAATATTGCAAGTCTGTGTTTGATTCTGCAGCCTATTGTTTTGGAGATTCTAACTCATGGTGGGTGCATTTTTCCTTGAGTATTTTGTGTATTTTTAAATGAGCCTCATATATACTTTTTAAACTTTTAATGTGAGGTAGTCTGAGATATAATTTGCAGGCAAAATCTTCTACTAGAGAGGATTTGCATTTACTAGGTACCCATGGTCACTTAAATTAAACTGAATTCTTGGTTTGAAGTTTTGGTAAGTACCCAAATAGTACCAATTAAGGCAGCAAGCCTTCTTGAGAACTGAATTATTAAGATACATTTTTTTTCTCTTTCATTTATCACCAAGTTTTGAGACAGGGATTTATTTTGTAGGCCCCTAAAGTGAATGTTTATTTGTAATTCATGCTACAATTGGGCAAGCTAGTCTTTGGGTTCTAAGCTTTATGCTGTGAGTAGGCTATTTATCAAACTCCTCACCTTGTGAATTCCCCTTTCTCTCTCTCTCTCTTTAGTCTTTATCCCTAGGTAACCATAAAAGACAGAAGTCAGAGATGGCATTCTCCAGTGTTCCATTTTGCTTAGCTTTCTGACTTTCCATCTTCAGCTTCTGATTGGTCCTTGCTTTCCTGCCAAATTATCTGAGCATTTATAAAAACCTTTGCTCATTTGATTCAGCTGAAGTGTGTTCAGGTAGATCTCAGTCAGCATGTTTTCCATAATGTTGAAACCATAAATCTCATGATTCACAAATGGAAAGAAGAGGGAAAGCTGGATTACAAAAAATAACTGATTAAGGATGTTAAATCATGGAATGATGCTAAAAATGATGTATATGATATTTTTAGAAAAAATGTGCAAAGTTTAATTAATTGAGCTCTTAGTTATAAGGAACTGGAGAAAATTGGAAGATTCTGACATATATAATTATCCTAATTGAGAATAAAGAGATGGTAGAAATAAGTGTTAAGCAATTCATGATGGCATATTACATACTTGCTTATGTACTGAACACCTGATATGTACAGATATTTAACTCCGTGTTTACAAAAGGTTTATGTTATGAATATTGTTCTTACCGAGCTTATAATCAACTTGAGAAAATAAAAAGTAAGAATATGTGATTTTAACAGTTTAGAAATAATTAAGTTCTACACCCTTTGGTACTGACTTTAAGTACAATAGGAGTGCAGAAAATGCTGAGCTTCGTGTAAGGTTTTCTGGAATGAGAAAACCTCACACGAAGGTTTTTTGTTTTTTTTTTAACAAATAGAACTTCATCTGGGGATATTAAAAGATAGAAGTGAAATAGGGAACAGTTAACAAACAATGGTATGTCAGGGCATGGAAATGAACACAAAAAAGAAATGAGCACAAGTAAGTGATCATCTTGATGAGACGAGAGGGAAATAGTAAAATCCAAGATTTTAGACAGGTTTTAATGACATAGTAAAGAACTTGGAAATCATAGGAGAAAGTTTGTTTTACAGTCAGGCATTACTTAACAACAGGGATAAATTCTGAGAAATGCATCTTTAGGCGATTTTGTCACTGTGCGAACATTATCGTAGGGTGTACTTACACAAACCTAGATGGTGTAGCCTACTACATGCCTAGGCTCTATGGTATGGCCTATTGCTCCTAAGCTGAAACCCTGTGCAGCGTTTTACTGCACTGAGTACTGTAGCCAACTGTAACACAGGGTAAGTATTTGTGTATCTAAACATAGAAACAGTACAATTAAAATTATGGTATGAAAGATAAAAAGTTGTATACTTATATAGGGCACTTAGCATTAATGGAGCTTGCAGGACTGGAGGTTGCCCTGGGTGAGTCAATGTGAAGGTCTAGGACATTGCTGTACACTGTAGCCTTTAACTTTTTGACTCTTTTGTAATAACGCTTAGCTTAAAACACAAACACATCGTACAGGTGTACAAAGATATTTTCTTTCTTGATATCCTTAGTCTATAAACTTTTTTCTATTTTTAATTTTTTTTCCCACTTTTAAAACTTTTTGTTCAAAATTAAGACACAAACATGCACATTATCCTAGGCCTACCTAAGGTCAGGATCATCAATATCACTGTCTTCCAGATCCCCATCTTGTCCCAGTGGAAGGTCTTCTATGATAACAATGCCTTCTTCTGGAATACCTCCTGAAGGACCTGCCTGGGGCTGTTTTATAGTTAACTTTTATTTTTTTTATGAGTAGAAGTATTACACTCTAAAATAAAGATAAAAAGTAAAGACGTAAACCAGTAACATAGTTGTTTATTATCATTATGAAGTATTATGTACTCTTTGTAATCATACACCTATACTTTTGTATGACTGACAGCGCACTAGGGTTGTGGACACTAGCATCACCACAAACACATGAGTAATGCATTGTACTACAATGTTGCATCACCAGGCCGTAAAAATTTTTCATCTGTGTTATAATCTTATGGTACTGTGGTCGTATGCGCATTCCATTGTTTACTGAAATGTCGTTATGTAGCACATGACTATTACATTATAATATATTTTATTATGTTTTATATGTTAGATGATATTGAGGTATTAAAGATTCTTGAGCAGAGGATTGACATGGTTAAAGTGATGTTGAAAGTTTAACTTCACTGAGAAGTGTAGATCTATGGGAAAAATTAAAGGCTGAGACTAGGACTATCCTTTGTTAGGGAAAAACCCACCTATTAGTATGCTGTCATTTGATTATATAAAAAACATAATATATAATATTAATATAAATTATTAATGTATATAAATATATATTTTTTTGTTTTAGAGGAATTCCAGGGAAGAAGTGTGGTACAATCATACTTACAGCAGAGGAATTAAACTGTTGCAGGGTAAGTAAATATTTCTTTGATTTTAAAAAATTTGTGATACTTCTTTGAAGAGCTATTTCTGAAACTATAATTAAATAATTAATTTTTAAGTAATTTTAGCAAAGGTGTTATACAGTTCTATAATCTGTAAAATATCTCTTTAGTTACTTAGCACTTTAACCAGGGACTATATTTCATAGTCTGAAAAGGATGATGAATTATTTTAACAATCTTTTTAAGGAATTGAAAGTATTAAGCTAAAACCCAATATCAATATTGTTTTTTAAGCGGTAGTATAATGAATTGCAGTTATATCAATCAGTTCAATTTCTGCAAAAAGTTTTTGAAGATTTATGTGTTAATTCCAAGGGAATATTTGTAGTCACTTGAGTTTAGCCATTTGTATAACATACTTTCCCATTTTTCTAGTTGAATTACTCCAGAATTTATATTGCTTTCATCTTTTGTTAGCTTGGAAAGCCCATAGTTGAAGGAAGAACAAGCTGTCATTCGAACTAGGAATATGACTGCATGGAGTACATACTCTGTATTTTTAGAAAATTGCTATATTTGGTTGTGATTTACTGATAAACTCATTGACTCATATTCAATGATTTCACTGTCAGTAAGAAATGAGGTGTTAGCTGTGACACTCCACATTGGAAGTAATGATGGCTTGCTGAATCGGAAGTCAATATCATCTGTTTAATGTGGTCCTGTGGATCTCTGGGAATTGTTATTTCCGGAGGAAAAATGCTTGTCCTAGATTATACCTGTAGGGCTCTTTATTTTTAATTGCTTGATGATGTTAGGAACAGTAGCTTTCCCCAAATACCAAAACCTTAAAACTTTGACATTGGCCATACTTTTTATATAGAGAGCTATAGTTTATTTTATTATCTCAAGAGGTTTTCTTTTTTAATTTTAGATAAATACTGTGGCTTTATTTACATCATATATTTCAAGCACAATATGGTCAGAAAACCATATGATATTATTTTGCCAGCAAATGATAGAAACTGAGTATACCAATTGATTACATACTTTTGGGATTCTGGGGCTGTGGAAACAATGAGATAATAATAGGAAACTATAACAGCCTTGTGGAGAGAATTAAGAATTAAACACTAATATTAGAATATAAATAGCTAAAAAATACATGCAAATTGAGGCCTTCCTTTTCTTCCTACCATTGTGTTTGTCCTCTGGGACAGGTCATGGCCATCTCAATCTCAGTTTTTTCATCTGTAAAATACTCAGAACCTACTAATAGCATAATGCTGGTAAAGATCATCAAAATGAGGCTGAGTTTTTGGTTTTGCTATTAACTTGTATTTTTGTCTTACCAAGTCATTTGACTACTCTGAGGTTTACTTTTCATATTTAAAGGAAAAGGAGAAACAAGTTTATGGATAAACATTAGTTGCTTAGATTTGAATGTGTTAGAAGTGGCTGTGAACTACCCAAGTGGATTTACTCATAGGAAGGTCTTTATACTGACCTGGAGTATTGTAGAAAGGTCTCAAAAATCTGTCAGGTGGGTTGACTGTGGTGGCTCATGCCTGTAATCCTAGCACTCTGGGAGGCTGAGGTGGCAGATGGTTTGAGCTCAGGAGTTTGAGACCAGCCTGAGCGAGCAAGACCCTGTGTCTGCTAAAAAAATAGAAAGAAATTAACTGAACAACTAAATGTATATATATATATATAACTATAATATATGATATATAAAAAATTAGCCAGGCATTGTGGTACATGCCTGTAGTCCCAGCTTCTCAGGAAGCTGAGGCAGGAGGATCACTTGAGCCCAGGAGTTTGAGGTTGCTGTGAGCTAGGCTGATGCCACGGCACTCTAGCCTAGGCTAGGGCAACAGAGTAAGACTGTGTCTCAAACAACAACAACAACAAACAAAAAAAAAAACCCTATCAGGTGGCATTAAGCATAAGAGATGAAAACAACAACAAAACAACTTTGTAATGATGTATATAAACTCAATTAGATTTATATACATCAATTAGATGTATATAAATTTAATTTCTTCTGTGCTTTATACAGATGGAATCTCTGCTAAGTTATTAACCTGGGTAATTACAAAAACATATTTTTCCCAAGGATATATAATTTACTGGATTGAAAGAAATCCTTACTTTGAATCTGTAATTCATTTTGTGAGCCTTAACGAATATAATTTGAAAAACTAAAACTAAAACTTAGTATTAAGTTTACTAATGGTCATATGAAAATTCATGCTTTAATAATAATGCTCTTTGAAGTTTTATTCACAATCTATTTGAAATATACACATCTTATTTATCTATTACGCATTTTAAGTATATCAGAATGTTTTTTGGAAGTTAGTGTTTTGGTCCAGATGCCTTGGAAGAATGTGTTAAAAAGGAGTGATTTTTTTCTGCATCAAGAACAATGTCCTGGGGGATGGACATGCTTGAAGCTCTTACTCGAGTGGGGAGGGCGACATGGGCAATATATGTAACCTTAACACTTGTACCCCCATAATACACTTCAATAAAAAAAAGAACAATGTCCTTGGAATGTCCCCATATTCTTAGAAGGCCACTCTCTCCCAAAGGTGTTTTAATACATGTGGAATTGAAAAGGCATTCAAAACAAACAAAACAGCCCTTCCTTCTCAATCCTGTCCTTGATTCTACAGTTTGAACACCCAGGATTATTCTCTCACTGCTTCCTTAATGGATAGTATAGAAACTTTTGATCTGTATACCACAAGTTTGAAAAGAAACATGATTATAATTGAAGGGTTTGAGGTAATAGTGGTGTCCGTATTGTTCTTGCCTCTTTGCTGCTTTTTCTTTAAAATGGATATCGTCACCTATGCCTGGCTAGAATGTATTTCCTGCTCTATTATGAATGTTTCTCTGACAACAGCTATGTGCTAAAAAGCAAAGTAAAATAATACTATACCAAAACTTTTGAAAATGAGAAATCTGGAAATCTGAGCTTTCCAAAGGCAGGGACTATCTTGTTCATTGCCCTATCCCCAGATTCGAGCTTGAGTATTGCTTAAGATATGTTTGCTAAGTAAGTAAATGAATGAATGGATGAAAAGGAGCGATAGCATCATGTTTTGTATAGTTTTCTGGAATTACTGAAAGGAAATAATGAGAATTGTAGGTGGACGCCAAATAAGTATTGCTGGACTCCACAAAGTAAAGAAGTGGTGAATAAGAGAAAACTTTTTTTTAGATGTTGTTAATATTTTCACTACCCAGTCTTCAAAATTGTGACCTGTTGATATAATCTACATTACTTTGCCACTCCATCTCCTTCCAAAATTTTTGGTATTTTCTTTCAGTTAAAAAATAAATAAAAAGCAAAACCCAAACTCTGGAGGTATTGATTAACTATACCTTTTCTACCTTTTAAAAAATGCTTGTCCTGTCTACTTGAATAATGTGTAACTTCCTTATGTTTACCTTAAAATCCTGTCGATTATGAGCGCTCCAGTGCATAAATTGATAAAAATGACTGGTTTGGCATAATAATTAACATACAAACATGTAATTTAAATTACAGATGAAAATGAAGGTGCTTTAAAACTTTCTTGAAGCCTAATATCATGGAAATTCTTTTTAAATATGGTTGCTGAGACATTGTGGCACATTTGTATGTAATTAAGAAGGAAACTCCCTGTCCCCCAATTGTAAACTATGTGGACAGAATTTTATCGTGCAACTTCAAAAATTTCACTAGAAATTCATTCTAGTTACAAACTATTTATTTCAAAAACTTTTAACATTCACCTTAATAATGATATTAACGGCTATACCAACTCTAGATACGATATACCCATAGAACAGGATCTAAAATTCCAAATCTTCAGTTTACTTCATATAACCCACACCATTTTTAAAATATAATTTTTTTGTTTAAATTCTTGTTCACCCAGGAAACCAATTACCATAGCATCTAGTAATGGTAACTACTGTTTACTTGCATGTTGCAAGATTTATTACAATGATTGCATTGGGAGACAATGACAGA